TCCGTCAGGGATGTATTCTGTCTCCATACCTTTTCAATCTGTGTGCAGATCATCTGAGACGCTGGGCTGTACGAGAGGAATGTGGCATCAGGATTGGTGGAAGAATCGTCAACAACCTGCGTTATGCAGATGACACAACCGTGCTTACTGAAACTGAGGAGGACCTGAAGCGCTTGCTGCAGAAGGTCAAGGACTTCAGCCTCCTATATGGATTGAATGAAGCTCAACATCAAGAAAACAAAGATTGTTACCACTGGGCCAATTGGCAGCATCAGTATGGATGGTGAAGAGATTGAGATAGTTAGCAGTTTTAGTTTGCTTGGCTCCACAATCAACACTCTTGGTAACAGCAGCCAGGAAATCAAGAGACAAACTGCATTGGGAAAGTCGGCTGTGAGGCACCCCTCAAGAGTACCGAAGAACAACGAAGTCAGGCTGGAGACTAAGGTGCATCTGATCCGGGCTATAGTCTTTGCAATTATGAGCTATGCATCAGAGAGTTGGACAGTGAATAGGGTTGATAGAAAGAGAATTTATGCCTTTGAGCTTTGGTGCTGGAGAAGAGTGTTGAATATACTATGGACTGCTAGGAGAACAAACAGGTTTGTCCTGGAGAATGTGAAGCCGGAATGCCCCTTGGACTCAAGGATTTTGAAGCTTCGTCTGACAGACTTTGGGCATGTTGCAAGGAGGGACTGGTCCTTGGAGAGAGACATCATGCTTGGCAGAGCGGAGGAGCGGCGAAGGAGAGTAAGACCTTCGATGAGCTAGATCAATTCTGTGACTGGAGCAGTGGGAGTAAGTGCATTTGAGATGGCTAAGTTGGCACAGGATAAAACAGCGTTTAAAGCTCTAGTACATAGGGTCGCTATGAGTCGCAAACGACTCGATGGCACATAACAACAACAACCACCTTTATCTTGTTGTGGTGCTCGAGTATTTAAATAAATTCTAGATATAAATCCCTTGTCTGACATGCCATTACCAAATACTTTTTTCCAGTCTGTGGCTTCCTTTTTTCCCTGTTGGAGAAGTTTTTGGATGTGCATAGGGATTTGATTCTTAGAAGATCCCATTCATCTATTTTATCCTCTCCTGGTTGTAGATACCTACCTCTTCTTCAATTTTTCTGATCGTGTGTTGCCGGTTTTTTGTTTGTTTGCTTTTTAGGAACCCTAATGGCATGTTGTTTTTGTTGTACACCGTTAAGTCAGAACCTTTAGTAGGTTTTTGGAAACAGTTTAATTGCACAAGAAGAGAGGTGAATTTGAACTGCATGCCTTTGGGACTGGAGTGCAGTTTCTTACCACTAGACCACCAGAGCATGTTATCAAGCTGCCAACTGAAAGGCCAGCAGTTCATATCTACCAGCTACTTCACAGAAACATACTTTGGCCATGTTGTCGAGAGTGGCCAGTTCCTGGAAAGAGGGTATTGTTTGGAAAGGTGGTGGTTAAATGAAGAGGAAGACCCTCAAAAAGACAGCTGACATAGTGACTACAACAATGTGCTTAGTTAAGCACAGATGAGATTGTGAGGGTGGTTCAGCATTGGGCAAGAAAGGTTTCTAATGATGAATGAATTTAGTTATCTTTTCATGTACTTATGGTCATTTTCATTATCTTCCCTGGAAAAACTGTACATGCGGAAATAGTTTAATTTATGTTTATTTTTGGCTATGCATACTTTCAATGACACTTTTTAATCTGAGGATAGATTGGACAAATTATTCCAGGTTGGTGAAGACTAAGCAAAATGAGCACAGAATGCATTACGGGATCTTGGATTGAATCCTGGACCAGAAAAAGGACACTACTGGATGAGATGGTTAATACTGTATGATAGCTTGACTCGGCTGTTCTTAGAGATTTGGGACATGCTACGTAGTCACTGTGAATTGTCTTAGGCATTACTCAATGCATTGGTTTGTAGATGGTTAGCTTACTATTATATCTCATAAGTAATTACATTTAGAGCCCACACTACTTAACACAGCAAAGAAAATTCTGTTTCCAAATGGGATTACTTCCATGGGTATGGAGGGCTAAGAGTTTAAGACAAATTTTTTGAGAGATACAATTTAACACAACAGTAAAACATGGTACAATCTGGTGGCATTCCCTGGTTTGTCTGTCTGTCTGTCTTTTTCTCTGTAGACCAAGGAATCCTACCCGGGAGACCCCTTAATAAAGTTTCTTTAACTTAAAAAAAAAAAAGATAAAATCTGTAAAATGGCTGATGGTTTAGCCCAGATATTATCTTCATTTCCTAGTTTAGCTAACTGTATTAAGGCTATATAACATTTTTAACATTAGAAGTTATGTGAAGGTTGCATGCAATTTCTTTTTCTAAGTCTGAAGTAATGTCAAAATATTTTGTTTTTCCAAGCTTAGGGATTGAGTGGTTAGGCACTGTTTATGATGATCTCCTGTACTGAAGTTGTCATTTCAATGCCAGGCTGCCCCTGTCAATTCTCAGGGGCCCGTGTAGCCTGTTATCAGATGATTCCTTAAAGTCCTCTGAGTCACAGAGGATGTGTCCTACAAGAAGCTCTCAGATTCCTTTTGAAGTGGTACCCCCACGGTGGGACAGGAAGGTAGGTGTCAGTGGTCTGGGGCCTTGAGAGGTCTGGGCCTGGGCTTCCTGTCAGCCTGGACTGGCCCAGCACCAGAAAGCAACTGCTCAGGAAAAGATGTGGGGTCTGAGAGAGCTCCAGGGGCCGAGGGAGGTGCTGAGACTCTCATCCTGCTCTGAACATCTGTCTAGGGACTTCCTCAAAAAGTGCTGATGTTAGGCTTCAGCTTCCTGTTGCCAAGGCAGACGATAGTGAACTAAGATGAAGGACACCCAGGCCTCAGAGGAAATGGGAGCTTGGCAGAGACTCTGACCATGTCAGAGTCACGAGGACACACACTCAGGCCCATAGGTTCACTCTGATGTGCTCACTGGGGTGGTCGGGCCCTGACAGACACGCAGATGTATGAACTCCCCATAAGTGTGCATATGGACACAAAGTTTATACACCACTCTAGCTCCGTGCACTATGGCACTGCTGGTACCTAGGCATGAGTCCCACCCTCCCAGCAGTCTGCATCAGAGAGGTGCTGGAGCTGGGCACTGTAGTCAGGGCAGGCTTTAGGGAAGAGGAAGCAGAAAAGGTGAAACAAAAGTGGCATTTGCTCCAGGATGCTTCCCCCTCACTGTGTCTCAGCTTCTATCTCTACGTATCCACTGCTGCTGCCACCTAAGCTTAAAGTTAGACAAAGCTTACAGAGACCCCCGTAGGGGAACAGTTCACTTATGAGGGGCAATGAAGACCAGAGGACACAGGCAAAGATCAAGTGATGAGATGGCAGAAGAGGTTTAGGGGAACCCATGAAGCAGCAAGGCCTGGCACTGGAAGCCAGCACAGGAGCTGGAGGCAGGACTCAGGAAGGCGGGTGAACCCTCCATGCAGATTCCTTTGAATCAGCAGGTGCCCACAGCAGTCCAGGGCTGCAATGGCTGTCCTCACAGTGGTCCAGGACCCAGGGACACTGCAGCTCCGTGAAAGACATGCAGCTCGTTCATGTCCCTTGTACGGCCTACCCTGTGCAGCTTCTGCCTGAGGGTATCTCTCTGGATTCTGTTTCTGCTGACCAAAAGTCACTTCAAACCATCTTGAGCTGCCAAGAAAAGCAACTGTCTTACAAAATTCAAAGGGCAGAATGAGATGCTGGATGCCGGCACCCTCCTTCCAGTCCCTGTGTTCCTCTGTCCTCCCCTGGCTGTTCTCAGTGATCTCCATACTCACTTCCCCAAAGTTCTAGAAAGTTTCCAAAACTGTGTCTCACAGTTCCAAATCAGCTTGTTTTCACGTGCTCAGCCCAAACACTGTAGCTGAGACTTCCCTAGATTGCCACTCAGTGACCCAAGTTTGGAAGGGTCAAGGCCTCAGGGAGACAGACTGGGCAGGCAGAAATGTGTGTCTGTTCAGCATGAGAGGCCCAGTGATGGATTCAGCCATCTGAGTGTGTTGATCTATCCTGCCAAGCCTTTGGGGCAGGTGCCTCCACCTACCAGCTACAGCCAAGAACAAGGGAGTCTACATGTATGAAGCTTGTGAGACTGGCTTCTTGAAGACAAAGGTTTCTTAAAGGAAGAGAGCAATAATCTCGTTTGGTTACTTGGACTCGATTCTGGAAACGCAGGTGAGCAGTTTCAGCACAGGTGGGCAATAGTTAGAGCTATATTTTACAGTATATACCTGGATGGAAGGAAGGGAGGGAGGGGAAGAAAATAGAAATAAGTGGTAGAGGGAGCCAGATGTGTACCAGGTGAGATGACTAGGGCAGGAAGGGACTTGAAGAGTGGCACTGGAGATGAGCATAAGTGAGTGCACTTAAGAGAGTGGGTCTTGGTGAGAAGTGAGGGGTGAAAGTCTTGTTTCCTGGGATGGGACCCAAGATAAGGGAGAAGTCTGAAAGATTAGTGGGAACCTGCTGAGAGTGCAGAGTATAGGAGACATTGAAGCAATGTTCTTGAGACAGCTGGACACATCCTGAGTGGGGACCAGGTGTGGGTGGGCAGGCTTGGGTGCAACCAGCACAAGAGCCATGAAAGCCGCAGAGACAAGGAGGGAGTGGCTAGGCTGGCTGTTCTCCCCTGCTCCAGCTCCCTGTAGCCACTGTTTCCTCCCTCAGGGTGGCCAGGCCCTCAGTTCGCTGGCCATGGTCACACCCACATGCTCCCCTGCCTTGAGATGGGTGGAGAGAGCTCAGAGGCAACTACTCTTCTGGCCCAGCTGTTGCTCAGAGGCTGATAAGAGTGCTACACGCTAGCGCTCCTACAGCCACCTCAGCCCAAGCAGAGCTGCCAGCAACATGAAGGACGAAGTGGCTCTTCTGTCCACTGTCACCCTTCTGGGAGTTCTGCTGCAAGGTGGGTTGGCTCCTGTCTGGGATGTGAGTGGACATCGGGCTTCTGTGGGTTGCCTTCTAGGCCCTGGGGAGGAGCTGGCCCTTGCCAGATGACAGATGTGAAAGCCTCCAGCCCTGGCAGAGGATGCCTAGGCCAGAAGTCACCAAGCTCTTAAGGCTTCACAGAAGTCCATAATGCCCCAGAGTCCAACTGCCAGCTGAGGGGAGTGGGGTGGGAAGAACCTGGGTGGAGGGTCAGTAGGGTAAACACTGTAGTGTCTACAAGGAACTGGAGTTTCCAAAGACCAAAGCTGAGAGCCTGGTCATGAGGACCGACAGTGAAACAGGAAAAGGTCTTAACCCTGAGGACTGTTTGGGTGAGGCAGGGATGTCAGACACCTTGAGTAAGATTGGCAACTGACCACCCTCCGCCAGCATAAGGAACCCTAGATGAGGGAAGCAAATATCAGGGTCAAATGGGGCAGAAAGGCTGTGCTGAGCTACAGGAAGTCAGGATAAATGTCTGCACAGCAGTCAGTACTTAAATAGGGCAGCCAACTCCCTCTCTCCAGAAGGAAGAGATACACTAGCACAGATACCTTTTGGCACTCATTGCTTCTGGATGGTTATGTCTGCAAAGGGCCTGGCACCAAAAGCACTAGGACCACAAGATTTGTAGACACACACAACAGGAAACACCAAGTATTGAGTTGGAAGTGCGAGGAGATTTGGGGCCTGGCTAGGACAAAGAGAACCCCTAGGGCCTAGAAAGAAGGGTGGCAGAGTTCTGGAGTTAGGCTGGAAAAGTCCAAGCTCCAAGTAGGAAGTAGGACAGTGTACGTCAGATTTAAGCCAGGGTCTATGCAAGCTAAAGGGCAAACTGAGGCAGAAGCCCATGCTAGTTTGGAAGCAGCACAAGGACTCAGGCTTGAGTGACCCCGATGGGAGGTAAAGTCAGGTCCAGCGGGACCAGGGACCTGATGGAATGCACACAGCTCTGTTCTCTGGGGCTCTGGTGGCACTTCCTTTTTTTGGACCCCACAGTTGAGTCTGAGGTGTCTATTTGCCTGTTTTTTGCAAGTCAAAGTTTCTAGCGGCCCCTCCCAAGTGCAGATGTCCTTGTGCTAGGGCAGGACAGAGCCTCCTTTTACGGAGATGGTGCGTGCCAGACCAGAGAGCGGGACCAGGAGGCTGGGGGTGTCTGGGGGGTGCCGGACCTGACTCTCCCGCCCCCTCCACAGCCTACTTCTCCCTGGAGGTGATCTCGGCACGACGGACCTACCGCGTGTCGCCACCGCTCACCACCGGCCCCCCGGAGTTCGAGCGCGTCTATCGAGCTCAGTGAGGCGCGGGTGGGGGCGCCCAGAGCCCCGGGCACACTGAGGGTGAAACCCAACTCCGAGACGCCTTTTTTATGCTTGCCCCCGCAGGGTGAACTGCAGCGAGTACTTCCCGCTGTTCCTTGCTACGCTCTGGGTTGCTGGCGTCTTTTTTCACGAAGGTCTGGGCGTGGGGCAGGGCTAGGGGCTGCAGTGAGCGCCTGCGTGCCTTTGGGAGCTCACGCCTCCGCGCCCGCAACTCTCCCAGGGGTGGCAGCGATATGTGGCCTGGTCTACCTGTTCGCGCGCCTCCGCTATTTTCAGGGATACACACGCTCTGCGCAGTTCAGGTGAGAACCCGTGCGGGGCTCCTGGGAGGGGAAACCAGTCTGGGGACAGGTTTGTGGGCGGCTTCCCGGCAGCTGGTGTGAAATAGGGGTCCCGTGGTGGAGAGGAGGTGGGCCGGCCGGATTCCGCAGGGGAAGGCGGAGGGCCCCGCCTGCGCCACCTCCGCTGAGCACCGCCCACAGGCTGACCCCGCTCTACACGAGCGCGCGTGTACTCTGGCTGCTCATGGCCCTGGGGGCGCTCGGACTGCTGGGTCACTTCCTCCCGGCCACACTGCGTGCTGCACTCTTCGCACAACTGTGGGGTTTGCTGCCTGAGGTCTGAAACGACGAGGATACACAGGGCATCCGAGGAGCCCGAAAAGACCTGACGCCTCCCGGACGACGGGGAGGGGGTGGGGTGCTCACCCTACAGTCTCTAATTAAAATTCCATGGCTAAGAACCTGCAGTTGCTGCGAAGTTCTGTGAACTGCCAGGAAGCCTAGAGGCAACAAGTGGAACAGCCAGGAGGGCTTTCCGGAGGTGGTGGGCCGGTCTGTGGAAGGAAGTTTTCTTCTAGGGGAGCTCAGCGAGGCACTGGAGACCTTGGGTGCCTAAAGAAAGATCTAGTTCTTTATCTCTTCCTGGCCATGATGCCCTTTTCACCAGGATTTATCCAGTGCATGCCTTCAACACTTAGCAAGACCCTCAGTCGTCCTATTCTTCATCCACCAGCCTTCACAACCAACACTGTCAGGTGCCGTAGAACAGATAAAATGTACACTCACAGCAACTCTACTAGCAACAGCAGATTGTAACCCTGTCCTATCTTGTACCACCCTCATCATCTCTGACTCACTTGTGACCATTACTGCAGCCGCTATGTCAGTCTTACCTCACTGAGGGTCTTCCTCAGCCAACACAGTTGTTGTGTACCATTGAATCACAACTGACTCCATAACTGACACTCTCAGGTTATCAGAAAGTTAATAGTAAGGGAGGAGGTTGCCCATTCTTATGCTGCAGAGCAGCTGGTGTACTCCAATTGCGTGTCTTTGGGATTGCAGTGCATCTTAACAGTAGGCCACTAGAGCTTCCTCATCCAACTCCATCTGTCAATCTGCTTGGAACCCTGGGCAAGGGCTTTAAAACAACAACAACCAAAAGACCTAGTGGCAATTGGAATACACTGGCTGCTCAGTGGGAGAAGGATGGGCAATCTCCTCTGGTGGATTAAATGCGTCTGAAAACCTGCTGGAGGGTCTGCTGTGGATGGGTTCCAACTCCCGGGTACACAGGAAGAAGAAGGAAGCTTTGGTGATCAAGTCTCCAGCATCTAGAAAGGGGTGGGTGTTGGGTGAAAATTCCTGCTGAGGTCCAGTGTGGATGACCATGAGGAATACTCAGTGTAGTCTTAGTCTTGATAACTCTCAAGGAAACATTCAGGTGCCTTGGTGACCGACACCAGAAAGGCGGCTTGCTGGCCAGACAAAACATCCTTAAAAGGGATTAGCTGAGCCAACAAAGGGCTAAGCTTGTTTGTTCTCTTGTTGTGTACCTTTGAATCAGATCCCACTGGCACAGGAGGAGATTTCCCCTTCATCTGTAGCAGAGCATCTGTGAACCTCTCACGCCTTTGGGATTGCAGCACAGCTTCTTGCCACTAGGCCACCAGAGCTCCCTCCGGGCCAAACTTTTGAAGCGGGGGTAGCTGTGTGAGATAGCTCATTTTAGGGAAGACCTTACCATGTTGCAAAGACCAGGAAGGAAAGATGAGAAGGGTCTTGGGGATCTAGGATAAGGATAGAACTCAGACCTATTAAGAAGGAGGGATATAAGAAGGCTGAGGGATGAGTTGGGTTTGAGTAGTTCAAGGAAGGCTCTGAATGTTGGATATTTGGGTCTGGATGCCTGGACACCTCCACTGTGATATGATATGGGGTGGGGGTGTTTTGAGGGCATCTTCAGAGGTTGAACAGACCCTCTCAAGAAGATGGGGCTGGGGTTATATGAAGTGCCGTACAGCCATGCAGCCACGCAGATAGGAAAGACTCCTTTGGCTTGGTGGGAGAGTTAGAGCTGAAGCTGGCTGGAGCTTTCTGGTGCTGAGGCTCCTCTACACATCCACAGGATTAACCCCAGCATACCAGGGAAATCCAAAAGGCTGTCAGCAGGAGAGGAACATTCCAGTTGAAGCACACACTTCATTAACCCTTTATTACAAGTCACGCTCTTATAGAAGTATATGTGGACTTACGTGAAAAAATCAAATGTATCCAAGAATAAAAAACACAGCACATAAAGTAGTATATGCATTCCAGTGTTCACGCTAGAGACAGCGGGCACCCAGGAAAAAGCTCTTCTAAAACGGCTTGGCTCTAGCCTGCCAGTGAGAACGTTCTGGGTGGCATAGTGCCGACCCTCAGGCACAGTGGGGGGCCGCCTGCCTCCTCCGAGGCCCAGTGGCGGGGCAGCACCAGCTACTGGGGCCTCCGGGCCAGCGGTGGACCCCGGGCCACCTGGACCCTGCTCCAGGCAGGGCTCTTCAGGCAGAGGCAGCCACACCTAGTCCTCCCAAGCAGCGGCTACATCGTGGTCTTCAGGTACTGCCACCCTCAGGAGCCCTGGACTTAGTCGGCCTTTTTCAGGAAGATCTGGAAGAGCAGGGCTGAGGGTCAGCAGGGCTCAAAGTGCCAGTCAGGTTCAAATACTGCTCCCTGCACCCAGCCCACTTCACCTCACTCAGAATGACCCAAACTGGTGAGTCTGTCTGGATGGAGAGGCGCAGTGCTTCCAGGGGGCCGAAGGCTGGATCCACCTCACCCTCCGCCACACCTTTGTGGAAGGAACCTAAGAGAGAGTAGGGCTGAGAAACTGTCCCAGAGACCTCCAGCCACAGGGCCTGCCGGCTTAGTCCTGCCCCTCTCCTCAACTCACTGATCTGGAGGTAACCGTCAGAGCTCCGAGGGTACCGAAGTGTGGCTGAGCGGCCCTCCTGCAGGGCCTCCTTATCTGATTGGGGGTTCTGGGGACAAACACAAGGGGCTGTCACTATGTATTTTGGTTGGGGTGTTGCCAGGCTTCAGTGCACCTCCATTCCCACCACACTCACATCAAAAGGGAGCACCTCCACAGAGGTGTTGAAGAGCTTATCCTCTGGGTGTTCGATGTTTCCACTGCGGAAGAAGAACCTGCACCAGACAGGCCTGTGAGCTGCTGCATGGCGGGCCCCTGCCCAGGTGCAGTGCCCACAGCCCCCAAAATAAAAGGCCAGACCTAGGCCTGGGAAGCCTAGGATCTAGGTACAGGGGAAAAGCTGGGTACAGCCACCAAAGCCTTATTCATAGAGGGAATGGTGATAAATACCAGGGGTACTACCACCCTTAGAAGTAGCTACAGTTAAGTATAAACCCCACTTTGCAGACTAAGAAACTAAGGCACAACTGAAATTTAGTAATTAGCTTCAGATTCTAAGGGGTGCCTGTAGACCCGGACATTTGTGGTGAAGGCTGTACCTTGGGGGCTGGTGCCTAATTGGATCTCTCCCCCCAGCACTGACCGCTCAAGGCGTAGTGGCTGGAAGAATCGGAAGCGGATGAAGTCTCCTGCAGCAGGTGTGAAGGCCCAAAAGAAATCCTCACGCAGGTAGGCCTTCTCCAGGGTGAAGTGCTGGTATGTCTTGAGGCTCGTGCTCACCTCCGCTGGTGGATTGACATGCTCCTTCCGCAGTGCCTGCTTCCCAAAGTCTTTGTCCTGAAGCCATGGAGAGATAGTGAGGTTAGGGGGCTGACATCCTGGATCTGTCCTGTCACCCGTCTCTGGCCCCAGTTTAGGGTCTGCCTAGATCAGCCCAGTGGGCCTGGTGAGCATGTGGCTTGGCACACCTTCAGTTTCTGGATCTTGCCTGCCAGGGAGGAGTGAGTGCCCACATGCTGGAAGAGGGACGGCTTGAAACGGATCCGAAGATTGGCCTTCTGTCGGTCACAGTGCTTCTATGGAAAGAGAGCAGCAGCATGGCTCAGCCCTGCCTCCCAAGACAGGGCCTCACCTGGAGGACAGTCAGGGACCTTGTGCAGCAGAGACACACAGACAAGGAGCCAGTCCACTGGAGTATCCCACACTCACCGCATCTTTCTCAGGGTTGCAGACCTTCACCCACAGAATGTGGTCTAGGAGCCAGTCGATGGGCTTGTCCCGGTAGAACATGAGGATGAACTCCACAATCAGGCTCAGATCCAGTGACTTGAACATCTTCCCTGTATTGGGGTCAGGAGGGAGAGGAGCTGAGTGAGTAGGGCAGGTCCTACTTAAATCTTTGTGAGGATCACTGGGAGAGTCCCAGAGAAAACCCAGGGGGACTGTCTGCAAGCTTCAGACAGATGTGGGCACAAGAGGCATGTGGGTGGTGAAGCCAGGGATCCCCGATGCTGGGAGAGGGAGCGGGAATGCATGGTGTGGGGCTGGGGCAGGAATTCTAGACAAGGCTTGAATCTTCACAAAGATTTGCAGCCTTACCACAGCATGATCATGGGATGAGAAAAACGGCAGGGACTGACAGATGATGACTGAGGCAGAGAAGTAGGCTGGCTGGAGGTCTGTGATAAGGTGGCAGGGGGTGTACGCACCAATAAAGCCAAGCTGGGAAAACTCCAGGATCATCCAGTCCTCTGAGGGTTGCTGGAGGGCGAAGTTCTTCATGGTGCTCAGGTAATTGGGCTTGGCGACAATGTCATCCTCCAGCTACACAGGCAGGAGGGAAGGAGAGAGATCACCCCTGACAACTGGCTGAGACTCAGGATGGGCATAAGAGCAAGCTCAACACTAAAGGGCAAAACAAAGCAAGAAAGCCTCCCACTGGCACCTGACCCACACTGCCCTCGAGGTGCAGCAGGATCTCAGTGCTGACCTGCACATAGTAGATGCCTTTGGACTGTGCATACATCATGAGGAAGCAGTAATCGAGGTTCTGTTTGGTCCTCCACCTAGGGGACAGAGATAGGGGCCTCAGACCCATAGGATCCCTTCCAGTGGGGCTATCATCATAGGGACTAACAATGGTTGTGGGGAGCCCACTGAGTGGGAGGGACCCAGGCCCATCATGCACGGCATAGCAAGGCACTGCTGGAAGGACCCTGGATTTATTTAGACTGATAAGACTAGATTCTTATTGCACAGAGATGTGCAGGTTGCTGGGACCATAGGGGGAAGGCCAATACCTGACTCTTTCTTTGGGGTCCCCAAAGGATTCACGGAGGCGAGAAAAGTCAGGATAGAAATGGGGGGACGGGGAGATGACCTCCAGGAGCCCAGAATGGATCTCCGTGGGGAACCTGAGAGACAGGAAG